CTCTGTTATCTGTACTCTATTCTCTTTACTCTGTACTCTGTACTCTGTACTCTGTTCTATGTTCTCTGTACTCTGTTCTCTGTACTTTGTTTTTTGTACTCTGTCCTCTATTCTCTATACTCTGTAATATGTAGTCTGTTTTCAGTTCTCTGTTCCTTGTTTTTTGTTCTCTGTACTCTGTACTCTGAACTCTGAACTCTGTACTCTGTACTTTGTACTTTGTACTTTGTACTCTGTACTCTGTACTCTGTACTCTGTACTCTTTACTCTGTACTCTGTACTCTGTACTCTGTACTCTGTACTCTGTACTCTGTATTCTGTACTCTGTACTCTGTACTCTGTATTCTGTACTCTGTATTCTGTACTCTGTACTACTCTGTGCTCTGTACTCTGTTCTCTGTTTTCTGTTCTTTGTTCTCTGTACTCTTTACTCTGTCTGTATTCTGTACTCTGTACTCTGTACTCTGTACTCTGTACTCTGTGCTCTGTACTCTGTTCTCTGTTTTCTCTGTACTCTGTATTCTGTAGTCTGTATTATGCACTCTGTACTATGATCTATGTACTTGATCTGTGCTATAAATTACATACCAGGATTCTGACAAAAACTGTAAAAGGCTATAGATATATATTGTCTGACACCATTTTCTTGTAAAAATGTTCAGATTTAATATCTCGGTTCAGTAGAAGGGAAACAAATTGTCGTAAAAATGTGATGCGTGGAGAGTGCACGTGGTGGAATACCCCTGGGGAATATATCTTGGGTTGTATATATATAATAAGATATATTGGGAGAACATTGACGTTTTAGTTTTAATAGCATAAAGGAACTGATTATCGCCTCAAACTCTAAATGTCTCGAACTAGCATGTAGATTTTTATAAATTCCTGTCGAGCCCTTTTAGAGAAAATTCCATTTGAACATTGTTGTGTAGTTTAGACTGAAAAAAGGCGTTATACTCAAAAGTTTTCGTGAGATTATTAGGCAACCAAAATATTTCGAGCTTTTCTGCTTAATTATAATCATCCCTTTTCCCCTGTTATTATAACAAAACAAAATAAAACATAAACAATCCTTTCTTCTTCTTTTCCTCTCTATTCTTCAATACCTTTCCTCTATCTACTACTTTTCCTTTTCCTCCTTTTTCTTTAGTTCTAAATTATTTTTGTTTTATTAGGTTTTATTTAAATTGAACATGTATGTATCGCTGCAGAAGGGCCTCTCATTCAAAACAACCAACAATGGTTAGAGAGGCCCTGGCTAAATTAAAATTTAAAAATTGTGCAATTGAAATTGTTTTTAATTAAATATTTAGTCAAATATATATCTATCTATCTATCATGATCAATTTATCAATGTAGAATTAACAAATATGAAGAAAATAACCATATAAACAATATTTGTACGTATTTGTTTTTAAAACCTACTTCTACTTCTTAGCTGAGGTGAACTTGGATTTTTTAGTGTTTGATCTAGCAACTCATAGTTTGTAATTTCAAAGGGATAGATATCAGGTTACAATTAGATATACGGATTAAATTAGAACATGAGGAGAGTCCTGATGTAATTTATTATTTTTAACATTTATCATTTTGAAGCCAACAAATATTTTGAGACTATATCACCTCTAGGAATATATAGCACTTTAGCAGAAAAAACATAAACATTATAAAGTGTCTTGATAACACGATATTTGCAAACCCCTTCAAAATAAAATATTTTTCTACATTAGTTTTAAAAATTCCAAAAATTCAGCCAACAACTGATTATGTGATCAATTCTGACCTAAGCTTTGTTTTACGTTTTCTCCATCATGCTTAAACAACAAATCTTAAATCTGTTTTGATTTAAGAATATCATATAAGTAATCTCGTCTAGTTGTATACAACCAGAATCCACCCCCCCTTTCGGGATTGCAGCAATACCAACTTTTTATAAACTAAAATTATTTTCATAATCTTCTAAACAAGTTTTCTCCTGAATTGAGTCTTTGCCATATGAACTCTTTTGAATCAAATAGTCACAGTTTGAAATATCAAAGGTTGACACCATTAGGTTGCAAAGATAAAGAGATAAGAAAATTTGAGTTTATGAAAAAGACTCAATTCCTTTTAACTTTTTTAACTTTCCAGTGGGGCTCACCCTATCCCCCCCCCCTTGTATACGCTTCCGATCAGTTCCTTCACCGGGTCCAACTAAGTTCCTCGATGCTTTGAGGCTTGTGAATATTGAAACTTTTCCTCATCATGTTTGAACCAGATTGATCTCCCTCTAACAAAATCTTGCGAGATTGAGATGATTCAACCGGTGTACTGTCACGTTCTGCCGTCAATAGTCTGTATGCATACTGTACAACTTGCTCAGACTCTGCTTAAAAGTGAGTATACGGTACCTCATCTGAACCGGAGTTTGAAGTGCTCTAATAGGTGGTTCTGTATCCCTGGAGCATAATTCAACCTCTTGGAGCAGAGATAAACCACAAATCCCTTGCGTGCAGTTAAACTCGGGATTAAACCATTTTCTGCACAGGACTAGGCAAATATATTTCCTTTATTCAGTTAGGAAACACAAGTTTACAAACCTGGAGGTAGGAACTGTTGAACAAGATAGGGCTGATCTACAAGAACCATCTTAGCTCGAGAGCCATTAAGAAAACTTTTGATTTGAAGCACCAATCCTTAAGAAACAGCTGACTCGTAATACTGAAATAAATTATTTGTTACATCTGATTGGCTAGTTTTCATTGCAGACGCTCCTAATTGGATATCTTTTGGACTAGGGATTAATGCTTTCTGAGTGAGTTAACAATATAAAAGTTTCGAACCCTTGGAATTTGGTTTCCTAAAAACAAAAGAAATAAGAGAGAAAAATTGAGTTATAATTTTAACATTCAAAGTTTTATAGCGCAAGTGACATATTTATTGAGCACAACCTTCTATTTTTAGTTGAGGACATTGTTTTATGATAATCCGGGTTTCTCTATTTATTCAAATATTCTGAATTCTTTCAAACTGTTTTTCTTTCAAACTTTTATCTGCAGCCAACTTTATACTTTGTCTTCTCCACCATACATACATTACGCACAAGTATTAGAAAACTAATTTATAAAGGAATTGAGTTTTTGCCACAACCTCAAATTTTCTTATTTCTATATCTCTGCAATCAGTGAATATAAACCTTTGAAATTTCAAACTTAGATTATTTGATCTAACAGAATTAATAGTTTAAAATATCTAAGGTCTACCACATTGGGTTGCCAAGATATAGGGATAAGAATAGTTGAGTTTGTGGCTAAAACTTAGTTTCTTTACATATTATTATAGACAGAAAGACCCGGAATTAATTGACAGCTATTCAGACGACTTTGCATAAAGATCTGGTAATATTAACCGCACAATAGTTAAGGCAGACCACATTTTAGAATTGGCAGGAGGGGGACTATTTATTTTGTTATCATCGTTTCATTTATCATGTTTGATTAAAATTAAAACAGAAAAAAGATGTAAAAAAGCAACTTAAACATTAACTAAACTATATTTATCTATTATTTTTGTAAATCACAATGGAAACATAATATTGTAAACATTTTTGGTGACGCATATTTTTGGCGTGGTCTTACAATTTTGGCACATCATATTATTTAGAAATAATTTTTTAGCCTAAAATTCTGTTTTTTTTTCTGAAGAAAAAATGTAAAATATTTGTAGAAGAATAAACTTTCTTCTTGCTTAAATAAATTGAGTAGAATGAGAGAGTTTTGCTTTTATATGATTCAATAAAATAAAATAAAATTCAGTTAATAAAGATATTTGAAAGATTAGATATGTATTTATTGCAGTGTTTAATTCAGTAATCTTTAGCGTAGAGAAAAGATTAAAACTCCAAATAATAATTATTTACAACTACTTTACAGAGAAGTTAAGGGACTTTTACTGAACTGAACTAAAATTGGTCTTGGGAACCAATGTTTAAGTAAAATTTTTAATTACCCGAAAAAGTAGTTGTACGCCATTTTATCGTCTTTTAAGCATGGAAATGTGCAATTTTTTCCTGAAAACTTCCCAGAGCGGGTGGTTATTTTACATAACTGTCCTAAGGGACGTTAAGTGACTTAACTTCTCTCTGTTGCGGGAATCATAGGTCGGTGGGTAATGTTGGTCAAAGGGCGGTAAAAAAATGAACAAAGTTGACGATAAGTCTTGTATTTCAGCTAACAAAGCTGTTAAGTACTGCATATGTTATTGTACTGTTACTTAACTGTTATGTAACGTTCTAAATTGGTTACTGTTATATATTGTAACTTACTGTATAATGGTTATACTAATACTGTAAAGGTTATTGTAAATTAGTTTTAATACTTAAATTTTATTTTAAATATTAGAATTATACAAGAATTATTATCGGTTTTGTTATTCCTTCTTCTCCCTTAATGATTTAAAAATGTGCTCTGCTCGAAGCTTGAACGTTTTATTGGAGTTTATCCTAAGCTCAATCTTTTTCTGCATTTAAGTGTGAAACTTGGCATTTATTTTAAATTATTTCGTTTCTTTTTGTGTGAAAACATTTTACAAAGTCAAAATAATAGTCAAATAATGTTTTTTTATTAGTGTAAACCTTTAAAATTTCAAACTTAGATTATATGATCCAACAGAATTCATAGTTTGAAATAATTTAGGTATACGACATTGGGTTGCAAAGATAAAGGGATTAGAAAATCACAGTTTGTGGCAAAAACTCAATTTCTTTCAGATTAAGTTTTGATATTTAGGTTATATTGCCAAGCTAGGTTCAATAATATTTTACTACATTGTTTCTAAAATATTGTTATGCTTTTCATTGCTTCAGATATAATTCATTGTTAAGAACATGAAAACATAAAATGTGATCAATTAAATGAAAAAGGCTTCAATCATAAAAGTATTTTTACAAAGGTTTAAATGAAAAACAATTGTTCTATTTCAATATTTCTAGTGACATTATGGAAAGACTAGATTTAGATCACATTTCTTGGCATGATTTCGTCAGGGACATTCCGTTTTGTTTCTTTAGAGTTTGGCAGTCTATTGAGTTATAAAACCACTAAGTTTAGAGAAAGATTGAATTATTCCGGTTTGGAAACAGGAAACGGAACTGAGCAAATGTGGTAAAGGTTGGCCCCCTTAGAATATTCTTTACATCATGACACAAAGAAAATATTTAACAATAAATAAACAACATTAAAAGAGTTAATTTAACAATTGGTGTTGGGGTGAGAGAGGGGGGGGGTCTAAGAGGATAATGGATCTTCTCATAGTTTTGTTAAATCCAGTTTCCAGATTGAGAGAGGACGTCTAAACACTGTAACCTGACCGACCTCCCGTCCTCCGACAATATACATGTGAAGTTGGAGCTCACTCTGCTCCCAACTCTGATCAGCTACCGGAGAAACCCTGTTCTCAACGGTTTTCAACCCAACCTTGTCCCGGACGGATTGCTCTAGATGGGAAAGAGGACGGGTTCGGAAGGATGGATTCTCCGGACGCTCAACAAAATCACTCTTAGGACGGGTTCGGAGCTCCACCTGACAGGAGGGAGAATCTCCAGTTGTCGGAGATTTTAATGCCTCGGCAAACCTGAAAAGAGTAAAAATTTCAGTTTTTGAAATATTTAAAGGATCTGGAAACTTAGAGTTCAGGAAGCGTGATTCTCCGAATTTAATTGACAATTTCCAACTTTTACCTGGAATGTATGTCGTCCTCCTTATTGTTTTGAAGTGAGGTAAGATCAGGTCGCATGTAGTGAGGGTTGGAGAAAGAGAGATTAACTGCCTCTAAACTGTCATACCCGGAGACAGAACTGTCCTGTAATACACAACTTTATACTGGAATAATTCATCCTCACTTTTAAACCTGACAGACACGAATAAATATTATAGTACTGAGGTTGAGAAAACAAAAGATCTAGCATAGATAACATAAAGAACATGGAGAACATAGAGACCATACAGAAAATGGTTAACTAGAGAACTAAAAACATATAGATAACAGAGAGAACTAGAAATTACAGATAACAAAATTAACTATGGAACATAAAGCACATAGAAAAGATAGAGAATCAGAGAAAATTTAGAACTAGAGATCATAGTGAGCTAGAGAACATAGAGAACATAATAAACTAGAAAACATAGAGAACTAGAGAACATAAGTAACTTAGAGAGCCTGAGACCATTGAGACCATATAGAGAACAAAAAAAAACAAAGAGAAAATAAATAAAGAAGATAGAGAAAATAGTAAACTGGAAAATATAAAGAACTCAGGGGACCTATATATAATTGAATTAGAAAACATAGAGAACTAGAAAACATAGAGAACTAGAAAACATAGAGAACTAGAAAACATAGAGAACTAGACAACATAGAGAACTAGAAAACATAGAGAACTAGAAAACATAGAGAACTAGAAAACATAGGGAACTAGAAATCATAGGGAACTAGAAAACATAGGGAACTAGAAAACATAGGGAACTAGAAATCATAGGGAACTAGAAAACATAGAGAACTAGAAATAAAAGATAACTAGAGAAAATTGGTAACTAGAGAATATAAAAAGCTAAAGAAAATTGATAACCAGAGAACATTGATAACTAGCTAACATAGAGAACATAGAGAACAGTGTTAACTAAAGAAACTAGAAAACTAGAGAACATAGAGAACATAGAGAACATATGGAACTAAGAAATATAATGAACACGGTGAAATAGTGAACATGGTAAACTAGAAAATTAGACATAGAGAACTAGGAAACTAGAGAATATAGAGGACAAAGAGGACATAGAGAACATATGGAACTAGAAAATAAAATGAACATGGAGAAAATAGTGAATAGTAAACTAGACAACAAAGAAAACTAGACATAGAGAACTAGAAAACTAGAGAACTAGAGCATTAGAGAACTAGAAAACTAGAGAACTAGATCAATAGAGAACTAGAAAACTAGAGAACTAGATCAATAGAGAACTAGAAAATTAGAGAACTAGATCAATAGAGAACTAGAAAACTAGAGAACTAGAGCATTAGAGAACTAGAGAACTAGATGATTAGAGATTATAAATATGTTGGTTTTTCTACTTTAAAATTGATTCTCTTAACATTTAAAATATTTCTGAAGTGTAAAAAATTTGCGCATTTATTGCTTATAAGAAACAATGAAGAAATTAAACTGTTTTTGAGTCAGGAAAACGACGGTATCTTCCATATTATTGATCAGATTAAGGTTTTACGGATACGTAAATGATACTGACCTCATCTCCTGTTTCCTCCAGGTCTATAAGCCTGACTGAGTCAAGGTTCCTGGATGACGGTAAGGTTGAGGACCTGGAGCTACAATCATAACTCTGAAACGTGAACTCACTGTCACTCCTGGTCGCTCCGCGTTCAAGTTTGATCTCTTCTGAAATTATGAAAATTAAGGATTCAAAAAGATAGATATTCATTAGTTTAAGCTCAGTGGCTCAAGTGAATCACCAAAAAATGAATTTTAAGTTGTTTTATTGCGGAAGAAAATAAAATGGTGCAGTTCTATGCAAGGTAATAAAGATAGAGCCAAAGAAATTTCCGTATTCATAAAAATCCATAAACTCCAAATATAGCTTCAGATATTTATGGAGGGATATTCCGAGTTTAGAATAAGAATTAGGTTTGTGCTTCGCCGCAAACTCCACGGATATATATATTATAAAGAATTTACAAGGTTTTTATCTTTATTATTTAGGATTTATAATTAGTCGTAAATAAACTAAATAAGGACATTAAATAAAAACTTTTTAATTTTATTTTCCCCGCGAGAAAAGTTTGTTTGAGTCAAGAGGACTATTGTTGTAGTTTTAAGGGACCACCCAGTTAAAAAAGGGGCATGCCAAATTCACAAGGGTGTCCTTCAAACCCTAATCTAATAATGTTAAAGATGACGTTTTCTACCTTAAAAAGTGTTCAATTGTTTTATTTTCTTCATTGCTTCTGTCGAAAGAAATGCGCAAGTACATTTGTGGAGACACAAATGAAAATAACAGTTTTATCTAATTTATACTTCATCAGAAAAAGCTTTGAAGGATACCGTTTTAAATCTAACCAGAAGCGCAACTAGGGGGGGGGGGCGACTGTGTTGCCCTTCACTAGCAAAGATTTGAAAGAAATCATCATGATCATGATTGTGGACAACTTTTTAATAACTTGCAAATAAAGATAAAAAAACAAGAAAACTGACGAACAAGAAATGGCAAAGTATATCAAGAAAAATGAGGATTATATCGACCTAACAGGAATTTTGTAGGCTATAAAATAAGTAAAGGGGTATAGCCCCTTACTAGAAAATAAGGATGCAGAAAGGATACAGAAAGGATGCAGAAAGGATACAGAAAGGATAAAGAAAGGATACAGAAAGGAAACAGAAAGGATGCAGAAAGGATGCAGAAAGGATACAGAAAGGATGCAGAAAGGATGCAGAAAGGATACAGAAAGGATGCAGAAAGGATACAGAAAGGATACAGAAAGGATACAGAAAGGAAACAGAAAGGATACAGAAAGGAAACAGAAAGTATGCAGAAAGGATGCAGAAAGGATACAGAAAGGATGCAGAAAGGATACAGAAAGGATACAGAAAGGATGCAGAAAGGAAACAGAAAGGATACAGAAAGGAAACAGAAAGGATGCAGAAAGGATGCAGAAAGGATGCAGAAAGGATGCAGAAAGAATATAGAAAGAAAACAGAGGATGCAGAAAGGATACAGAAAGGATGCAGAAAGGATACAGAAAGGATGCAGAAAGGATACAGAAAGGATACAGAAAGGATACAGAAAGGATGCAGAAAGGAAACAGAAAGGATGCAGAAAGGATGCAGAAAGGATACAGAAAGAATATAGAAAGAAAACAGAAAGGATGCAGAAAGGATACAGAAAGGATGCAGAAAGGATACAGAAAGGATACAGAAAGGATACAGAAAGGAAACAGATAGGATGCAGAAAGGATACAGAAAGGAAACAGAAAAGATACAGAAAGGATACAGAAAGGATGCAGAAAGGATACAGAAAGAATACAGAAAGGATACAGAAAGGATACAGAAAGGATACAGAAAGGATACAGAAAGGATACAGAAAGGATACAGAAAGGATACAGAAAGGATACAGAAAGACGGATTATTGACAGATGAAAGATAGTCACAAAGTACTTACAGAACTACTTAATGCAGACTACAAACACCAACAATAAAATGACTATATAGTTAACATATAATAATACGGAACGTTATACACAGAGTGAATATGATTAAGCCAAGGACTACCTGATGCTAAGAAACATATAAAAAGATAGACCACTTAAATATACTATTTAAATGGAGAAAATAATACACTAGATCTAAGAAGAACACAAAAACAAGCCATAGGATATTAAAAAATTGATTTGTATTGAACACTGAGCCAAATCTGTATGCAACAACTTAAAATTTCCGGGGTTTTTTACTTTATACCCTTTAAAAGCACTTTTATTTCAAAAAAATGTTGTACCCCCCAAACCCTTCAAAAATTAAATTTCGCCCCCCCCTGACAAAAGTGCTAGTCGCGCCCCTGAATCGAACAGAGTGTAGCTTGAAATACCGTTTATAGTCCCTTAAAGGGTTTCATATTCTCCGAGAAGGTTCGAGAACAATGGATCGGAAGCTGAAATCCTTCCGTTCTGATTTCTTGATAAGAGATACTAAACCCGGAGCACAACAACGGAGTCATGGGCGGGTTACGATATTTTACAGGGGGAGGGGGGATACTCGAAATATAGAACGCGCACGGTTTTTACATATTTTATGAGTAACAAAAATCCATTCTTAAAAATCAAAATTAAAGGGTCAGAAGGAGTATATTTACTCTCTCTAGTTCCGCCCCAGATATTTCCAGTGGGATGTCTCACTCCCTATCCCCATTAAACCGCCTTTGATGATTCAACACTTTTCAAAATAGAGAAACATTGATTTCTCCCTCATTGTTACTCAGGCACGTAAATGAAATTACGTGTATATTCCCCTTAAAGATTCCTGATTTATTGTTAAGAATTGTTCTAATGTACTCCTCTTGAGAACAGCTTTCTAACTATTGAAAAGAAAACAAATATCAAAGACAAAAGAAAACTTTATAAAAAGTCAAAACTCACACAAAAGAGAGACATATTATCAAAGACGAAACTTTCTCTAAAGAGTCTTTTTAGAACTGTTTATGAAAACAATTGTCCTTGGTTTATTTTAGTTCAGATCCCTAAAAACTCTATCAGAGATCAACACAAAAATAGTACAGATCCACTTTTTTTACTCAAACAGAATACAATGAGATCCACAGATTCAGAAAGTTAAAGCCATTGTAAACGTAAATTTAATTGACCCTTCATTAATAGAGTGAAATGTCCGATTGACAATGGTACCCTTTCAAAACTTTCTATGATCATTTATCAAGTAGGAGTTAGATTATTTAGATTATTTGATAAACAGAAATCCTAGTTTTAAATATCTTAAGTTTTAGAAATTAAAAAAACAAAGTTTATGGCAAAGACTCGATTCCTTTTTAATTTTGAAAGTTTATCAAAATGCATGTACAGAACAAGCTGAGTTCTATAGTAGTATATATAAAAATAAACCTGCTGGTATGAAACAAGCTGAGTTCTCTAGTACTAAAGATAATAATAAACCTGCTGGTATGAAACAAGCGGAGTTATCTAGTATTAAATATAAAAATAAACCTGCTGGTATGAAACAAGCTGAGTTCTCTAGTATTAAATATAAAAATAAACCTGCTGGTATGAAACAAGATGAGTTCTCTAGTAGTAAAGATAAAAATAAACCTGCTGGTATGAAACAAGCTGAGTTCTATAGTAGTAAATATAAAAATAAACCTGCTGGTATGAAACAAGCTGAGTTCTCAAGTTCTTCCAGCTCCTCCTCCTGCTGAGCCTGGGCCTGCAAACTAGCAAAGTTTGGAACTGAGAGCTGATCTCTGGGTAGCAGACATCCGTCCTTATCCTGCAAACCCGAACCCGTCTTTTCATTGGCAAACAAATCAAGAAACAAATGGCCACTCTAAAAAAAAACATGAAAAAAGGTTATCTAAATAATCCAATATTGAATTAATTTAAGGCACAGAACACTGGCTCAAAATAATTTTTCTGACCCCTAAATCTTAAAAACCCGATCTTGTAGAACTTTCAAGCTTTGGATACTTTTAGATCTAACATTTAATATCACAATAGTTTCAGTAGAAGTAAATATTTCCATTTACTGATAGCGCCGATTGAAGGATTCATAACTCTGATTGGATAATGAGAGAGATAGAAAGATAGATGATACCGCCATACTATTTCTATTGGTGTATAATAGACAACAAACGCATGACTGAACCCTGATTGGATCAGGCACTAATGGACGCGGCATACAGGAGTATCAAAGTAGGAAAAACCAAAGGTTCTTAAGATATTGGGAATTAGAAAATTTAATTTGTGCAAAGAACTCAGTTTCTTTCTATGGTATTTAAGTAATCCAAAATTCTATTCCGTATTCAATAATCCCACATTTTAAATGGATAGGACAGGTATTTTTAGTCGATAGTTTAGTAGAAACTTTTGAGAGTTACATTTTAAATTCAAATAATTTTAGAAATTGAAAAAGAGCATTCTAACTGTCCATAATAATAAAGAGGGGAA